CCTTCTTCATAAGATAAACTACCCATCCAAAGAAATGGTTGAACAAACTTTCTCTGAACTACTTCAGCACATTTATATCCTTTCTTAGGCAAAGAGACGAAAAGTTCTCAGTACTCCATATTTGGTCTCACCAATGTCCTGTACAGCTGCAGCAAAATACCCCGACTTTTACTTTCCATTCTCCTCGCCATGATATTTGTCTTCTTAACCACTTGCTTTATCTATATACTAACTTCAAATGATTCATGTACTGGGACACCCAGATCCCGCTGTACCTGAGAGTTCTAAAATCTCTCTCCATTTAAATGATATGCTGCTTTCTTATTCAACCAGCTAAAATGTACAAGTTCACATGTTCCTACATTGTACTTCCACTGTCAAAGTTTTGATCATTTATTCACCTATCTGTATCCTTTGGTGGATTTCTTATGTCCCTGCGGCACACAACACATGTGGATACATTACACACAGCACCCTCCTCCAACTCACTAACATAGAGAGTAAATAATTGAGACCCTAGGACTGATCCTTCTGGTACTCCGCTAGTTACATTAATCCTGACTCTCTGCCTTCTGTGTTAACCGATCCTCAGTCCACGCTAATATATTACCCTTTGGTCTAACTAGTCCATGCTGACCAGACATCCCAATCTGACATGGTCCCATTTGCCAGTATTTGGCCCAAATCCCTCTAAACCCTTCCTATTCATATACCCATCCAGATGCCTTTTAAATGTTGTAGCTTCCACCACTTCCTCTGGCAACCTGTTCCGTACACGCACCACCCTCTGCGTGAAAAAGTTACCCCTCAGGTCCTTTTGAAGTTTTTTCCCTCTCACCTTAAACCTATGCCCTCTAGTTTTGGACTCCCCAACCCTTCGATAAAGACCTTGGCTATTCACCCTATCCATGTGCCTCATGATTTTATAAACGTCTATAAGGACCCCCCTCAGTCTCCAATACTCCTGGAGAAAAAGCCCCAGTCTATTCAGCCTCAAACCCTCCAGTCCCAACAACATCTTTGTAAATCTTTTCTGCACCCTCTCAAGTTTAACAACATCATTCCTATAGAAGGGCGACCAGAATTGTACGCAGTATTCTGAAAGGGGCCTCACCAATTTCCTGTACAGCTACAACGTGACGTCCCAACTCCTATACAGTACTTGATGTTTTGGCCAATGAAGGCAAACGAGCCAAATGCCTTCTTCACTATCCTGTTTACCTGCAACTCCACTTTCAAGGAACTATGCACCTGCACCCATGGATCTCTTTTGTTCAGCAACACTCCACAGGGCCCTACCATTAACTGTATAAGTCCTGCCCTAGTTTGCCTTACCAAAATCAACACCTCACATTTATCTAAATTAAATTCCATCTGCATCTCCTCAGCCCATTGACTCATCTGATCAAGACCCCATTGTACTATGAGATAATCTTCTTCACTATCCACTGCACCACCTATTTTGGTATCATCTGCAAACTTATGAACATACCTCCTATATTCACATCCGAATCATTTATATAAATGACGAAAAGCATTGGGCCCAGCACCGATCCTTGTGGACCACTACTGGTCACAGGCCTCCAGCCTGAAAAGCAACAATCTACCACCACCCTCTGTTTCCTACCTTCATGCCAATTTTGTATCCAATTGGCTAGCTCCTCCAGGATCCCATGTCAACATCTTGTCAACTTAAAAAGATCCAATTTTGCCCAATCTGTTTCACAGTAGCTAACCGATCTTCTATTCATATCCCCTGTACCATGAACTCCTATTTTGTGCATTGACATTTGATGTGGAATCTTGTCAGTGCCTACTGGAAATATAAATACAACATAACCACTTGTCCCCTTTTATCCATGTTGCTTGTTACTTCCTCAAAGAACTACGATAAATTAGTCAAACATTATTTTATTTTCACAAAACTATTTTGTTCTGCCCGATTCTATTGAGATTTTCTAAGTGTTCCTTATAGCCTCCTTAATAATTGATTCCAACATTTTATAGAAAATGGCAGTAAAGATAGTGGAGGCAATGGTTGAATCTGGGAGAGTTCAAGCAGATTGGAAAACTGCTATGATGTTGCCCTGTTCGAGAGGGAGGGAGACAGAAAGCAAGAAACCGTAGGTCAGTTAGCCTAGCATTTGTCATTGGGAAAATGCTAGGGTCTATTTTTAAGGAAGAAATGCCAGGACATTTAGAAAAGCTTAATGCAGAGAAACAGAGTCAATATGGTTTTGTGAAAGGGAAATCTTCTTTGAAAAATTTGCTAGAGTTCTTTAAGGATAAATCAAGCAGAATTGATAAAAAGGAACCAATGGATGTAGCATATATAGATTTTCAGAAGTAATTTGATAAGATGCCAAGACAGGTTGTTCCACAGATAGAAGATCACAGTAATACATTAGCATGGACTGAGGATCGGCTAACACAGAAGGCAGGGAGTCAGGATTAATGTAACTAGCGGAGTACCAGAAGGATCAGTCCTAGGGCCTCAATTATTTACTCTCTATGTTAGTGAGTTGGAGGAGAGTGCTGTGTGTAATGTATCCACATTTGCTGACAATACCAAATTGGTGAGAGGACATGTTGTGATGAGGACACAAGGAATCTACAAGAGGATGTAGATAAGTTGAGTGAGTGGTTAAAAATCTGGCAGATGGAATTTAGTTTCAGAAAGTGAGAGGTCACATACTTTGGAACGAAGAATCAAAAGGCAGATGATAATTTAAATGGAGAGAGCCTCCAAATAAGTACAGCATAGAGATATCTGGGTGTTTTTGTGCATGAAACACAAAAGTCGATGAAGGTGCAGTGAGTAATTAAGAAGGCAAATGGAATTTTGTTTTTTATTGCTTGGGGTTTGAAGTTAAAAAACTGGGGCAATTTTGCTGTAACTGTACATGATGATGCTGTTCCTAGAGTCCTGTAGACAGTTTTGGTCCCTGAATTTAAGAAGTGATACATTGACATTGGAGGAAGCTCAAAGAGTTTCACTAGGCTGGTACCTTGGACAAAGAAATTGACTTATCAGGAATAACTAAACAGGATTGACCTTCCTTCGTTAGAGTTAAGAAGAACGAAGGCTGATCTTAGTGAAACATGCAAGGCTTTGAAGTAGTTTGACATTTGTTGAAAAGACATTTCCAACAATGGGGAGTCTCAAACTTGGAACCTTCATTTAAAATAGTGACACAGGGCTTAGTGAAAGGCACTAAAAGTATTTAAAGAGGAGGTAGATAGATTTCTGAAAAATTAAGGAATTGACAGCAATGAAGAGCTGGCCTCCGGCAGATCACCCACTTCAGAATGGTGGGGCAAGTTTGAGGGGCTGAGTGGCCTACTCCTGCTCCTATTTCTTAACGTTCTTTTCCCATTGATAGATGCTAAGCCAATTAGTTTGTAGTTTACTGCTTTCTTGAAGAGAGGAGTGACAATTCTCTGATATAACAAGGTGTAGAGCTGGATGAACACAGCAGGCCAAGCAGCATCAGAGGAGCAGGAAGGCTGACGTTTCGGGCCTAGACCCTTCTTAAGACAATTCTCTGTTCTGCAATCGGATGACATCTTTCCAGAATCTAGGGAATTTTGGAAAACTAGAACTAATATGTCTATTTTGTCAGCAGACACTTCTTTTATGAACATACAACAAAGTCCATCAGGACACAGGGATTATTAATGTTCAGTTTTAATAATTCTCTCAGTCCTGTTTCCCTGGTGATTGTGATTATTTTAAACTGCTCTCTCCCTTTCACTTCCTGATTTGGAATTATTTCCAGGATAATATTTGTGTCCTCTCTAAAAGAAAACTGAAAGAACTGCAGATCCTGTAAATGAGAAACAAAAACAGAAATTGCTGAAAAAGCTCAGCAGATCTGGCAGCATCTGTGGAGAGAAATCAGGTTAACGTTTCAGATCAAATGACCCTTCCTCAGAACTCGGCCCTTTGGAGGAAGAGTCACTCGACCCAAAACGTTAACTCTGATTTCTCTCCACAGATGCTGCCAGATCTGCTGAGCTTTTCCAGCAATTTCTGGTTTTGTTTGTGCCCTCTATTGTGAAAACAAAATATCGGTTCATATTTTTATAGCACCTTTAACATGGTGAAATTGTCCAAGGTGTCTGATGAGAATACCATAAAGCAAAATTAGATACCAAACCAAACAAAGTCCGAAGATATGCAGGTTAGATGGATTGGCCAAGGGAAATACAGGGTTATGGGGATAGGGTAAGGGGTTGGGTTTGTTTCAGAGGGTCATAGTGGACGCAGTAGGCAGAATAGCCTGCTTCCACATTGTAGGGCTTGTGTGATTCTATATTATGGCCCACGGCCAAATGTTACTTTACAGAAATATGTTTTAAGGAGCACCTTGAAGGTGGAGAGATTGAGTGAGGCAATTTGAGAGCTCAGGGCAACACCATGACTGCCATCAGTGGAATGATCGAAATCTGGGATGGTCCAAATCTCTGCACAGCCAGTGCAGGCAATAGAACAAACAGTCCAATAATTCAGCAAGTTGCATTTCCCTAGCACCTTTCATGATCTCAGGATGTCTGTAAACACTTCACAACCAATGAAGCACTTTTGAAGTGTAATCATTGTTGGAATGTAGTGCCAATTAATTTGCGCAATACAGGCTCCCACAAAACCATTAGCATACATTGCTGAATAATCTTTTAATTATGTGGTTTGAGATGTCAATATTGGCACAGGCACAAGAACTCACCTGCTCTCCTTTGAAGTGATGCCAGGGTTTTCTTTGTACATCCACCTGAGAGAGCAGGCAGAGTTGAACATCAGTGGTTGATGCTGTATAGCCTGGTTTATGGACTTGTATTTCAGGTCTAAACTCTAGACCTTTTGATTCTGAAGGAAGTCAGAGTGCTAGCTATTGAGCCACAGGCAACACAATGTAGTTGCTAAGGGCTCTTCTTTTAGGGAAACACCATGGCAACAAACAGAGACACTCACATGGGTCTGTCATTAACTGTCTGTGCAGGGTGGAAAGATCCCTGTGCGATGGACTGCACCAGAAGCAATTGCGTATCGGAAGTTCACTTCAGCCAGTGATGTATGGAGTTATGGAATTGTCATGTGGGAAGTGATGTCATTCGGAGAGAGGCCTTACTGGGACATGTCAAACCAAGACGTAAGTAGTTTTGTCATATAATATAGTGCATAATGCAACCTAAACAACACAGGAAATAATTTTGAGAATTAACTAAAAAGAGAATTGCATGACTGCTGATAAAGGAGAACAGAAAACACTCCGGGTTAGATCAGCTCATGAAAGCTCATTCTTCAAACTGATCCAGAACATTGCCTGCTGAATGTATACATACTTCAGAATGCATTTGCCTTTGTCTTTCATAAACTGATGGATGTGCTGACAGGTTCTGATGGTTGTGCCAGCCAGTGAAATATTGGGAAAGTGTTTGTTGGTGACGTCACCAAATCTTCCTCAATCTCAGTTTCCGTTGAGAGGGTATAGATCATTACTCATTCCTGCAGAGATAAGGCCAGGGTTATTTTCATTGCCAGCCTTCTGTCTGCCTCCTCAGGATGGCATGCAAATAGATTTGGGTAAGGCAGTTAGATGTGGGGATTTCAGGGAGGGGTACTGATTGAATGGTGGGGAATGCGTCTGGGATGGGCCTCAGAGCAGAAGAAGTTGAAATATCGTCCTTAGGGCTCAGGAGAACACTTCTGCTCCTCCAAGCAAGTATGAAGGAAAGTAGAGTAATAAAAGGATCTCTTTCCAACTTTATTCTGACCAGCTTCAGCCTAGCACATTAAGGTACAGCAACTCTCTCACTCACTTTGGAGTTAAAATTCCAGCCAAAGCCCAAGGATACTACCCCATTGTGTGGGGTCCTTTCAGCTGGGTGCCTTTGTTGGCTGCTCAGAAGAGCAGATTAAATTCAAGATCATTTGGAAATTGGTGTTTAACTGCCAAACTACCCAGTTTCTTCTGATGATTTCTATAGTTTTACTTCATGAGGAAATGCAGTGTGAACTGTATGCCCTCATGAGCAATGCAAGTGTTTTTTTTTTCTCTCATTTCTGTTCATAAACATATGTCCATTGCTTTCTCTTTCTAATTGGTGTTCTTTGTTTTATTTTGAGAGTGCGTGAGGTAACTGGGATTGAAGTAATTTCTTTGACCTAATCAGCAGAATGTGGTGCTGCTGTGCATAATGACAAGCCGATTAGCCAGTAATATGCTTTGATTAACGAATTGCTTTCTCTTCCATGAACCTCTGGCATCCAAGCAGATGTTATGGCACCAAGATGACTCTTTGAGCATATGGATAAGGTCAATTGTGTCCATATCTCTGACAAGGGCTGACATTTAGTCACAGAGTCATATAACACGTAAAAAGACCCCATGATTCACCCAGTCCATGCTGAACATAATCGCAAACTAAACTAGTCCCACATGCCTGCTACTGGCCCATATCCCTCCAAACCCTTCCTATTCAAGTATTTATCCAAATGTCTTTTAAACATTGTAATAGTACCCATATCCACCACTTCCTCGGGAAGTTCATTCCACACACGAACCACCCTCGTGTAAAACATTTGCCCCTCATGTCTTATTTAAATCTCTCTCCTCTTACCTTAAAAATGTGTCCCCGTAGTCTTGAAATCCCCCATCCTAAGAAAAAGACAACTACCATTAACTTCACCTATACTCCTCATTATTTTATAAACTTCTATCAGGTCTCCTCTCAACCTCCTACGCTCCAGTGAAAAAGGTCCCAGCCTATCCAGCCTTTTGTTATAACTCAAACCTCCCATACCCGGCAACATCCTGGAAGCAGTTCTTTGAATCGTTTTGAGGTAGAGGTGGATAGGTTGTTGATTTTTGATAAGCACATGGGTGAAAGGTTATTGGGGTTTAAGTGGGAATGTCGAGTGATCAGATCAGCCATGATCATGTTAATTGGAGGAGTCGGCGTGAGGATCCTATTCCTGCAACTGATGTGTGGAATATTCCATACGCTCCTAGGCATCACATCTCTGAAAAGAGGTATTGGTTTTGTCACATTGCAGATTCATTACAGCAATACAAAGGGTTAAATTTTGGCCCATATTCACTTGTGTATAGTAGATTGAGGGTGGGGGAAATGTTGGTAATTAAGGCAATTAAATTTTAACAAGATTCAATAGGTAGATGCGGAGAATCTATTCCCTCTGAAAGGAAAACCAGAAGAACAGGAAATAATTTTAATCCTTGGGTCTTGATTCCCCATTCCGTTTGATCATGGCTGATCTCTTTCTCAACTCCAGTTATCTGCCTTTGGTTTGTATTCATCAACAACCTCACCAAAAGAAGAGTTTATCTATTGGGGTGACATGGCAGCTCGTTGTTAGCACTGCTGCCTCACAATGCTAGGGACCCAGGCTCGATTCCACCCACAGGCGATGGTCTGCGTGGAGTTTGCACATTCTCCCTGTGTCAGTGTTGGTTTCCTCCCACAGTCCAAAGATATGCAGGTTGGTTGAATTGGCTGTGCTAATTTGCTGATCATGTTGTCCAGGGATGTGCAGGCTTGGTGGATTAGCCATGCAGAATGCAGGGATCGGGAGATAGGTCTGGATGGTGTGCTCTTCAGAGGGTAGGTATGGACTCGATGGGCCAAATGGCCTGTTTCTGCACTGTAGAGATTCAGTGATCTCAAACATGAAAGCCACAGAGCCTTTTGAGAGAGAATTCTGGACTTTTACTATCTTTTATGTGAGAAAGTGTTTCCTGATTTCCTGCTAGCTGCATGTTAATTTGATATCTATGGAGGAATCAGTTACAGATTGCTCGGATCTCTGAACCCGGGGTTGCACAGACACTCTCGATTAGTGGTAATCATTTCCATCCATTCTTGTGTTTTAGCTCTCGATTGGCAGATAGAATTAAATCATTTCAGATGACATGCATTCTGACATTCCTGGCAGCCAATTGGTGCGGAATGTTCTGCACTGGAGATGCTTAACACGTAACAGAAAGTTTATGCCTGACAGAAAAATAAAAGCTACTAATTTTCAGCTGAATGTATTTTTGACAGCTATCAACCAGCGAGTGTTACCGGAGTTCAAATGTTAAACTCACCGTACTCCCCTTTCTCGCCAATTGTGTCAAAAGCACAGTGGGCCAGATGTGTATAAAATCTTTAACTGAAGTTGTTTCCTCAGAGCACGACTCACCAGCAGTGCGGCTAAGACAGAAACTGCTCGAAAGTAATTATTCCGAGCGTTAATGAGGCTACCTTTTCATTCGACATTTAATTTTTATTTCAACGCTGGGGTTTGATGAGGGCATCAGGCTTGGCTCGTGAGATAAAATGATTGAGTCTGACAACCCAGGAGATGAGAGACTTCGGCCGAGTAAGGCACTCTCTCCCAGCCCTGCCGGAAGGTTCTATCCCTCAAACGTAGCGTCTCTTGTTTTTAATCAACAGGGAATAACAGTGTTAAGGTTGCCCAAGGTCAATGAACAATGACACATGACTATAATTAATGCTGTGCTCTGGGTTTGATTACTTGACCTGCTTTTTCCAACAGCTTACCTATGAATATGTCTGAAAGGATGCTGGGAGGCTTTAATTTCTTTTTCCTCTGTTAAAACATTTGCATAATGGACTACATTAACAGCAAAAGTTGAGTAACAACAGCAGTAAAATGGCAAGCAGGGATTTTACATGAGTGTGAACTACAATCATTGCCCTCTTGTTCATCCTTGAATACACTAAGCATGTTCTTTCCATTTGTCATAGAGAAAGTCTTGGGGACCTGAGGTTACTCAGGTGGTAAAGCATCAGGCTTTTAATTTCAGGTTCCAGGAACCAGGTTTGGAGCTGTGGTGGTGGTGTCCCTTGGGGATAGAGGGCCTGGCTGCTGTGGAGGTGTGTCTGATGTTGATTTTAAAACAAAAAGCTCTGACATTTTAATTCAATCTTTGTTGAAGCAAACTACCCCCACAATGCTTCAGAGGAATGTAAAGGAATTAAGGGTTATGGTGAGTGGGCGGGTAAGTGGGGCTGAGTCTCAAAGATCAGCCATGATCTTATTAAATGGTGGGGCAGGCTCAAGGGGCCAGATGGCCTACTCCTGCTCCTCGTTCTTATGTTCTTATGTTCTAAACAGACAGAACAAATTAACTCCAGCAGCAGCACACAGTCGCCTACATGGCAAGTAACGTTCACTCCACAGAAATGCCAGGCAAGATCATCTCCGAAAAGAAACAATCTGACTTCCATCCCGTTCACATTCCATCACTGAATTCCCCACTATCAACATCCTCGGGCTTACCAATGACTAGAAATTTAACTGGACTCACCATATAAATACAGTGGCTACAAGAGAAGGTCAGAAGCTAGGAATACTGCAGCACGTAATTCACTCCCTGACTTCTCAAAGTCTGTCTACCATCCACAAGGCACAAGTCAGGAGCGTGATGGGTGCCTCCCCACTTGCCTGGATGAGTGCAGCCCCAGCAACGCTCAAGAAGCTTGATAACATCCAGGACAAAGCAGCCCACTTGATTGGCACTACATCTGCAAGCATCCACTCCCTCCACCACCGACGCTCAGTAACAGCAGTGTGTACTATCCCCAAGATGCACTGCAGAAATTCACCAAATATCCTTAGACAGCACCTTCCAAACCCACAAGTTATTCTAGAAGGCCAACGGCAGCAGATAGATGGGAACACCACTACCTGCAAGTTCCTCTCTAAGCCACTCACCATCCTGACTTGGAAATATATCACTGTTCCTTCACTATCACCAGGTCAGAATCCTGGAATTCCCTCCCTAATGGCACTGTGGGTTTACATACAGCATATGGACTGCTGCGGTTCAAGAAGGCAGCACACCAGCACCTTCTCATGGGCAAGTAGGAACGGACAATAAATGGTGGCCCAGCCATTAACACCCACATCTCATGGTGAATAAGAAAAAAAAATCCCGATTTCTGCCATATTTTGTATAACTGGTTTTTATCATCTAGCTAAGAAACCATGTTACACATGTCAAAGCACTAAGCTTCTATAATAAGACAAACAACCGTGGATGCTGGAAATCTGAAACAAAACTAGAAATTGCTGGAAAAACTCAGCAGATCTGGCAGCAACAATGGAGTTAATGTTTGAAGTCCAATAAGTTCTGTTCCTGTTTCACTATGTTCCTAAATTCATTCTCTAAACTGCACAACCTGTCTACCTTTCTCTCTTCCATTAAGAAAACCTATTACTTTGACCAAGTGTTTGATCATTTGACTTCAGCCCAAAATGAAAACTGAAATTCCACTGCATTACTGAGGGAATGCTGCACTATTAGAGATGTGGTTTTGGGCAAGACATCAAACTGAGACCTGTCTGCTCTCTCAGGTGATTATATAAAGGATTCCGCGCCACTGTTGGAAGAAGAACTGGGAAGTTCCTCAGCTAAGTCATCAGATCATTCTAGCCTTGCTGTTTGTGGCACTATGTGTAAAATTGACAGATTTAAATCAATTTTCTACACTATTACAGTGACTATACTTCAAAAGTACTTCTTTGATTGAGAAGATCTTAGAGCATCTTGAGATGTGAAAGGGTCTAAGAGTAATAAGTACTGTGTCAAGTTCTGGTCACCCTGTTGTAGGAAGGATACTATTAAGCTGGAGAGGGTTCAGAAGAGATTTACAAGGAAGTTGCTGGGAACAGGAGGTTTGAGTTGTAAGGAGAGGCTGGATAGGCTGGGACTCTTTTCACTGGAGTGTAGGAGGTTGAGGTTTATTTTATAAACCTTATTGAGGTTTATAAAATCCTGAGGGGCATAGATAAGGTGAAATGCAGGTGTCTTTTCCCTAGGGTTGGGGGCATATTTTTCAGGTGAGACAAGAAAGATTTAAAAAAGACACGAGGACAACTTTTTACACATATAGAGTGATTTGTGCGTGGACTGAACTTGCAGAGGAAGTGGTGGATGTGGGTACAGTTACAACATGAGTACACGAATAAGAAATGTTTGGAAGGATATTGGCAAAGCGCAGGCAGGACGAGTTTAGTTTGGGATTATGGTTGGCATAGAGCTGTATGACTCTATGGCTCCTGGTCTTCTCCTTTTCTTGTAACAGTGACTGAAGAGAATTCAACCTGAGCACTTCTTTCTATTTAAAGTTAGATCAAAGACCTTTGTAATTTGCATTATCTGTTTGAAAAGCACTTCATAATGGGCCTCCTTTTCCATGTGTTTTCAGGTAATCAATGCCATTGAGCAGGATTATCGTCTGCCACCGCCCATGGACTGCCCAGCTGCCTTGCACCAGCTCATGTTAGACTGTTGGCAGAAAGACCGAAACTCCAGACCCAAGTTCGCCCAGACCGTCAACACTCTCGACAAAATGATCCGGAATCCTACCAGCCTGAAGACCATGGCCACCATCACCGCAGTGTAGGCATTTCACCTCTTCTCGATTGTGTGCCAGCCACTGGTGATGCTCTTGCCCAGCTGGTTCTGCATCTAGCAGTGGTCATCATGGTACAGGTTGCTGTGGGAGGGGCTTAAGGCTGACACATGCAGATCAATCTCAGTCCCCATTGGGTGCCAAATGTTGCTGTCTGCCTGGGTGGTAGAGTAAAAGAAATCCATAGAAGAGCAGAAAATGGGAACAGGAGGAGGCCATTCGGCCCATTAAGCACCCTCTGCCATTCAGTATGATCAAGACTGATCCTCTATCTCAGTGCCATACCCTTGCTTTCTGCCTGTACTGTAGCTCTGTCCCCATACCCCTGGTCTCCCCATACCCCAGCTCTGTCCCCATACCATGCTCTCCCCATATCCCTGCTGTTTCCATACCCCAGTTCTCACCCCATATCCTAGCTCTCTGCCCGTATCCCTGCACTGTCCCCATGCCATATGAAACCTTTAGTGTCTAGAAATCCATTTCTTTCTTAAATATGTTCAGTAACTTGGCCTCCACAGCCTTCTGTGGTAGAGAATTGCACACATTCACCACCTTTCCTCATCTCAGCCCTAAATCTCCTTCTCTTTATCCTGAGGCTGTGATCCCTGGTTTGAGATGCCAGGAGAAACGTCCAATCTGTCAGAATGTTCTTTGTTTCAATGAGATGACCTCTTATCCTTCTAAACTCCAGTGTCAACAGGTCCAGTTGATCCATTTCCTCCTCCTGTGCAGTCGATTCTATGACTCTATGACTCATATGAGACTCCTGCCATTCTAGGAATCAGATTGCTGACCGTTCACTGTGCTCCCTCTATGACATGTATTTCCTTTCTTAGGTAAAGACCCTAAGGGACAGATTTATTGACTGGGTGTGGGACCAGTTGTGAAATATTATCACACGTAGGACAGAGAAGCAAATAATTACAGATGTTTTACTTTGTACAATATGGCAAGGAGATATAGGGTTAGATTTTGTGTGGTCTGAGATCCCCACCCACCCTCATGTACACACTTCTGTTTCTACCATTTAATGACCATTAGTAAGTTTCACTTGTGAGAGTTACTAGTAAGACAAATGACGGGTAGCACTTGTGCCCAGCCACGCCACCAACAGCCACCTCTGGGACTATGTTCAGTCCCAACATCAAGGAGTCATGGAGGCAAAACTAAGGTAGAATGAGAGAGAGGGGTTTTGGCAGGACCAGGACAGAAGGCATGGGCAAAGGCTGGGCCTGACAGACTGGAGGTAATGGAACCAGGCAGGAGGAAGTGCTTAGAGACCTTTGCTCGGCGTGTGCCCCCCTTATTTGACCACTCCCTGCTACTTTCCGACTGCTGGCAAAATTGTTCCTCAGGGTAGTGTCCAGCTGCTTCATCATCACCTTCCCTCCATCATAAGGTCAGAAGTGAGGGTATTCACCGGTGATTGTTTAATGTCCAGTACCATTCGTGACTTCTCAGTTACTGAAGCAGTCCACGCAGCAAGAACTGAACAATATCCAGGCTCATGCCTATAAATGACAAATAACATTCAACTCACTCAACAGGTCTGGCAGCATCTGTGGAGAGGGAACAGAGTTAGTGTTTCAAGTCTGTTGACTCTTATCAAAATTGATACCAGCTAGAATAAAAGTGGCATTTATGCTGAAGGTGGAGGGGCTAAAGGGCAGCAGGTGAGTGAATAGGTGGAGATGGAGCCCAGAGAAAGAGAGATATGTATGGAATAGTTAGATAAGGGGTTTGTGGACAGTAACCCAAAACAGAGGGAAGCTGAGTAAGTGATAACGAACGCTAACAAGAGGAGAGAATGGGTAGAGATAGTAGGAACTGCCGATGCTGGAGAATCTGAGATAACAAGGTGTAGAGCTGGATGAACACAGCAGGCCAAGCAGCATCAGAGGAGCAGGAAAGCTGACGTTTCGGGTCGAGACCCGTCTTCAGAAAATGGTTAGAAAAGGAGAGAATGGTAAGGCTGTGTTGAAAGCAACTCATGTCATGACCCGTGTGAGAGTGGATAAAAAGCATGGAAGGATGGAATTAGGCTTTAAAGTTATTGAAATGGATGTTTGAGTCCTAGAGGCTACAGAGTCCCTAAGCAAAAGATGAGATGCTGTTCTTCCAGCTTGCGCTGAGCTTCGCTGGAACACTGGCAGCTCTACACCACCTCTAGGATTGTTGTAGCACGCTTGCAGTTGGAGCCAGCCTCACATTCTCGCTTTAAAGTCAGAACCATTCCAGCAATCGATCCCCAACCCCACCATCATAGCACTCACTTCACATTCAGGAACATGCCTCCCACCTGCCATTCGTCTATTCCTAAGGCAATCAGAGCTTTATCTGTGCCACAGTCACTGAGGAATCTGTCCTTTGCTGAATTAAACCTACTTCATTGGGATCTTGTCTCACTCCCCAGTCCTCGTCAATCCCAACCCTTCCGTGATCGCTAATCCACCCTGTGATTGAATACCCCTCTCTCCCAAGATGACTGACACTTACTCACACTCCACCATTCTCACTCTGCAGCATTCAGGGGTCATGGTCCCAACCAGAAGCCCCTGCCAATCAGTGAAGCCATATGTCATACTGCTCACTGTAACAAAGTAACATGTTTCAATTGAAAACACGGCAGGAAGAAGATAGGGGAAAGAGAAGGTAAACTGAAGTGTCCCGAAAAAGGAATCATCAGACTCTGCAAATTGAAACTTGTGAGAGGTTAATTAGTTTGAGAGCTCAATCTTTGGCTAACTTTGTGAAGGGGTCAAGAAAGGTTCGTGCCGCAGTCTTCCAATACCTCAAATTTAAAACTCTCATCCTTGCCTCCTCCCGGCTCCGTAACGTTTTCCTCCAACCTTAAAAAACACGATACCAAAATAACTAAAGTCCAACATCCTTTTGGGCAAACTTTAGTGAGGTGCTGAAGGTTTAAAGCTCTTATTTTCTACAAACTATCAAAACAGGAAAAGGGCAACAAATAACGAAGCCCCAGGGAAAATCATAGGCAATTTAACATCCAATTCTCTCTGATTATGGATATTTATATCTAAGGTTTGTCTTCCCATCTCCAGTCATTTCAAATTCCTACAAAACAAAAGTCAATTAAAAACGGCCGGGGGTGGCAATTTTGTTCTCCCATGTAAAGAGCAAGGGCTAATTCTTTCCAGGGTCCAAGGTGGTGTCCTATTACATTGCAACCTCCCTTCATAAACAAAGCCTCCATTCATTCATCCCAACCCATAATCTAATCACAGTAACAAGAAGCAGGGCAGCTTGTGAGCTGTAACTGGAACCAAGTGATGTTCAAGCTCTTCAACCCCTCCCTGCAGACTGTCAGAAATAATGGGCAAGGTGATGTGTGCTGCAAGTTTCCTTTCGAGAATTCCCAAGGCCAAAGCTGATTAATTCAACCGTATACCTGAGAGGTGACCTTGTCGAGTGTCTGTGGAGACATTGGACACTGGCCTGTCTCCTTGTGGAAAAAATGAATGACGTAAGGAGCAAAATATAATTTGTATGTAGCCTCTCATCTCCAAGGGTGCCCCAACTTTATAACTGTCTTTTGATGTGTGGTTTCTCTTGTTCTGTCAACTCATGGAACCACCAATTTGCCTGCAGTGTCTCAAACAGCAATGAGATAACCCATGATCAGGTTATCTGTTATCCTCATGACACTAGTTAGCAGAGAAGTGCTGGCTATATGCCCTGCCTCTTTAGCTTGAATAGGCAAGTGGGTTAAGCCGTCATTTAAAAGTTGGCCCCTCTGACAGTTCACCATTCCCTCTGTATTGAACTGAAGTGTCAAGGGGAAATGTAGCACATTGGTAATGTCACGGTGCTTGAACAGTTATAGAGTCATGCAGCACAAAACAGACCCTTGAATCCAACTTGTCCATGCTGACTAAGTTTCCCAAACTAAATTAGTCCCATTTGCCTGCCCTTGGCCCATAACCTTCTAAACCTTTCCTATTCATTTACCTATCCAAGTTGTAACTGTACCTGCATCTACCACTTCCTCTGGCAGTTCATTCCACGTATGAACCATCCTCTGTATGAAAAAGTTGCCCCTCAGGTCCATTTTAAATCTTTCTCCTCTCATCTTAAAATTGTACCCTCTAGTTTTAAACTTCCCAACCCTAGGGAAAAAACCTTTGCTACTACACCTTATCGAAGCCCCTCATGATTTTATAATCCTAATATGTAAAGTTTATAGATTATAAACAGCAATATTTCAGAGACTCAGGGTAATGCTGTTGGGTTAGAGGTTCAGATCCCATCACAGTAGCTGCTGGAGTTTAGATGTAGAGTCATAGAGCCATAAAGCACCAAAGCAGATCCTTTGGTCCAACCAGTCCATACTGTCCATAATCCTAAATTAAACCAGTCCCACCTGCAAACATGATTAATAAATCTGGAATTGGAAGCTATAAAAGCTCATCCAGTTCATTAATATCATTTTGGAAAGGAAATCTGTCATCCTTACCTGGTCTGGCCAGTATGTGATTCCAGACTCAGTGCAAGGGGCATTTCGGGATGGGCAGCAAATGCTGGCCTAGCCAGTGACCCCTGGAAGAATGAAGTAAAATACTCAAAGGTTACTGCTGCTTGAGAGGTAAGAATGATGCCCATTGTGTGAAACTGATATTCTGGAGTCAACTTGACATCTGCAGAATTAAGAGGGTGAGGGAGAGACTTATTCTATCAAAACAGAAAGGGGCAAAAAAACAACCAAACCGCAGGTAAAATAAAGACAGTTTAATCGCCGGTTCTTTCTGATTATAGATATTTCTTGCCATGGTTTATCTCCCCAAAACGTCCAATCTCAAGCCATTCCAACATTTTGTCAATTACAGCATTTTGTCTTCTCATGGAAATGGACTCTTTCTTTCCCGAGGGAGATGTTCGGAAAGGAAGTTTAGAGCAGCAGAAACCACGCATTTGAATTGAGTTGTTCTCGAGGGTGCAGATGAGAGAGAATTATAAAACAGCTGTTAGTCAGAGCCACTGATGTTTTTGTTTTATTGTTTGCCTTTGAAAACCAGGCCTTCACAGCCTCTGTTGGACCGCAGTGTACCTGACTTTACTGCTTTCACCTCAGTAGAAGATTGGCTCAGTGCAATCAAGATGAGTCAGTACAGAGAGAATTTCCTCAACTCTGGATTCACATCTCTGCAGCTGTGCATGCAGATGACTTCTGAGTGAGTATCACATCAAATCAGGGTTGGACAAAGGAGGCCATTTGGCCCATTCCTTCCAGAATGCTATACATACACCTTACTGCAACAGAATCAATGCTGTCCTCGGTCATTCTCAGTGATTTCTTTCCTGTACCTGCACAAGAGAGGAACTGGCCAGGATATGGTGTGGAGGTGCCGGTGATGGACTGGGGTGGACAAGGTCAGAAATCACACGACACCAGGTTATAGTCCAACAGGTTTATTTGAAATCACAAGCTTTCGGAGCGGTGCTCCTTTGTCAGGTGAATGACATTTATGTAAAGTCATAAAACATGGTAACCATGTTGCAAAGACCTATACAGTCAGCTTTAGGGCAATTGAATTGCATTGAAATGAAATCCAGACAGAAGTTGCAGGCTTCAAATCTGGTCAGTGCAGCATTAGTGAAATCTGGAGAGTCAACAGGGAGTTTGACTCCTGATAAATAATCACTGATTTTCAGTGCGTAAGTCTCGGGTTGGGTTCAGTTATGCTGCATTCCACAGTTGCACAGACTCTGGCATCCACTGATCAGACTTTAAGTTAGATACCAAAATGCAGTATGTGAAAACTTCAATGGAATTTGAAATTAGGAGTGATGCAAAAATTTCTGTGACTATTCACTTTAAATTAGCACCTACATTCAGAATTCTAGCTCTAAATTTTTAAGAGGGTCAGTTTTATTTGTTCAGACTTGCGTTTGAATTGCATTGTTCAGTGTCAGCTCAGCTCAATATTTTATGAAGTAAAACAAACACGAAGCAATCAGTTCAGAAGCTCAGTAGCACAGTTTTCTGTCACTTCAGGAGCCTGAACTCCCACTCAACTAAAACTGCAAACTGTTCCGCAAGGACAGTTAGGGATCTGGCTTTGGCCGGGAACTCGACCGTGGCTTTCTCTTCACACACACTTACCCCTGCCGTATCCTCCAAGGCAGTCTAGGCAAGGTGACGCACAGGAACAGTCAATCAGTTTGTGGAAGGTGGCTTTCCAGGAGAGTAGCAAAGACTCGGGGAGAGGTAAAAGGAAGAAACTTTACAAAACTAATTTCCTGGGAAAGGCATATGTAAACAAAAGGAACAGTCACACACAGATACACTCACACTGTCACACTGACACTCTCACTGTCAGACTGACAGACCCAGACGGATACACTCTCACTGACAGACTGACGGACCCAGACGGATACACTCCCACTGTCAGACTGACGGACCCAGACGGATACACTCTCACTGTCAGACTGACAGACCCAGACGG